GTTTGTCACAGCCCCTCGTTTGTTGTCCTCTTCTCCCTCTCTGCCTACGGTTTACCGGGCAGTTCTATTTGACGATATATATATATATATATAATGTTTGTGACGATATATATATGTGTGTGTATATGTATATATGTATATATATAATTTATTATTATTATTTTGTTTTCTGTCAATACTTGGTCCGGTTTGCCCTGGACGACAATCTATTTCTCTAAAACCTAGGCTACCAGCAGAGCCGCCTTTGTCGCCTAGTTTTCCTGGGAAGCCCGCTCGAACAACTTTCAACTTTCATCACAAGGTTGCATGAAAATTATTTACCACGTATATATTATTATTATTATTATTATTTTCTGTTAGTAAGGATAAAATAATTTTAAGACAAAAAACACTATTAACCAGGATTACCCGCTCGAACATGCGGTTTTGAGGACAGGTTCGGGGTCCACCCCCGCAGGGGTTCACGCCCTGCCAAACCCCAAACCCCACTAATGGGCCAAAAGATTCTTTTAATCCCCCCCCCCCCTTAAGATAGCTCATATCCTAGCGCACCTATTCCTAAAATTTGGAGTTGATCTATTGAGAAAGAGGTAGGCTAGCCAAGCTATATATACGTTGGATAGGAAGAGGATTCTGTAATAAACCCCACTTAATTGGAGACTTAGGATTTATGTAATACTTGTGAATTGAAATATGAGTAGAATGTAAAACAAATAATAAAATCCATAGAAGATAGGAGTGAAAACATCGCATCCTGTTCACGTTCATTGACCGAAACCTAATGTTCACAACTAAACGAAAACGGGTGCCAGTTACCCTCGGAATGTGAATATAAAAGGGGAAAAAAAAAAGGGGTCTCTGAAAATATCAAAGACATATTATACTATGTCAAACTAGGAAGTATTTTTATGCCCGGCCGGGCACTCGAGCGTGACGTCCAGGGGGGTCGGACGCCCGGGATACCCGGGTGTGCAAACAAAAAAAGAAAAAAAGGGGTGTGCCTTGGTGTGATTTTTTTATTTTCTTTGAGAGTTGGCTGTCAAGGGGGGGGAAGGGGGATATAAATTTGTTTTAAGGGGGTAAGGGGGTTTAAAGGGGGATGCGTTAGTGTGATTTTGTTATTTTCTTTTTTATCACCGATTTGGTGAGGAATTCTGATGTGACCCTCAGGCAAAAGTTGTTTGTATTGAATACTATTTGACGATATATAGCTATATATATATATATATCGTCGGTGAAACTCCGACGAAACAGTTTGTCACAGCCCCTCGTTTGTTGTCCTCTTCTCCCTCTCTGCCTACGGTTTACCGGGCAGCTCTATTTGACGATATATATATCGCTATATATATATACAAGGTAACCGGCGTTCGGACGGGCTGAACGCCCGAACCCGAACGCCTGAACGTATGGGACCCCTTGGGGATGCGTTCGGTCGTTCGGGCCGAACGCGGACCAAAAAAAAAAATCAAAAAAATCTGAAAAAAAGATATGTAATGAAAAAAAAAAAACTAAACAAGATTTGCCTGAGCATTACATCCAAATTCATTGCCAAATTTGAAATAAGAATAAATTATGAAAAAGAAATACTAATAAAAAAAATAATAAAAAGTAAAAAAAAAAAAAAAAATTAGTGAGTTCGCGAGCACGTTTTCGATACCGCCATTTTTGGCGATTTTTTATTTTTTTGGGGAATAGCTAAATGCCCTCAACATTGTACTTCACATAATGCAAAACACACTAAAAAAGTTTCAAAAAATAATAAAATTGTTTAGACCCCGAACTAAAGTGAAAACAAAAAGTAAAAAGTGAAAGAAAATGTGGGCAAACACGTTTTGACACTGCCATCTTTGGCGATTTTTAATTCTTTTTTGGCAGAGTCAAATGACTTGAAAATTTACAGGCGTGTACCTCACGTCATACAGAACTCACAAAAAACAATTCAGAAAAAACAAATATTTTGAGGCCCCGAAATATTTTTTGGCGGGGGCCGAACGCCGTCGGGTTCGGACCCCGTACGGGACCCCGAACGCTCATACGCACGGAGGTCTGCCCAGGGACCTCCGTACGTACGGGACCCCAAACGTTCGTACGTACGTTCGGTGTGCTACATAGTATTTTATTTTGTTTTCTTTTTGTCATTTTTTGATTGATTGATTGATTTTTCGATTGATCTGTTAGGGAGGGGTCGCCACCCCCGGCATGCGAGCGAACGCTTGTTCTCGCTTTTCTTTTCAACTTTTTATCGTTTATTTTTTACTGGTTGATTGATTGGTTGATTAATTAATTGATAGATGGGGGCGTGCACACACATGCATATACACACATACATATATTCACACACACACGCACATACCGACATTAGAGTGCACGTTCACTTTTTTTTTTTCCAACTTTTTTTATTATTATTTGATAAACTGAATGATTTATTAATTAAAAAATATGTAGCGTGAACAACCCAAGGTCGCAGGACCTTAAAAAGAAAAAAAAACTTCATGACTTATAATATTCATTAAATCAACTCTTGAAAATAAACAAGTTTTAATTAAAATAATTAAGGAAAAATAAAAGAGAATTCAATTAAATAATAAAATACATATTCATTATTTTAATAAAAATAAAATATATTAGTATTGTATTTTATAATACCAATAATCATAGTATAAAGAAAGAAAATATATATTTTAAAATTATTTGCTAGGCTACCAAAGTGGTTTGGGACCACTTGCCCGGTCGAGCAAAAATAAAA